AGTATTCCGTTTGTGATCGTTTGTTAAGTATTGACGAACAAGTTCATATACATTAACAAACATATAAACTAAAAAAATACGGAGTATATAGTAAACAAATCAATTAGTTAATGTACTCGACATTTTTCACAAACTAATAATGTATAAACATTCAATTTAATCTAAAAATCCGTAATAAGTTATTATCTGTCTCAAAGGTACAAAAACAATTTTAATGCAAGACTTCTCAAAGTCAGTTTAAATAAATAATAGTAAGGGAATGAAAAAATTTATCAAAGGATACATTCACACTTTTGTTCATTTCAATATACCTACGATATTTTCAACAACGTTCTGTTTCTTTTTTAGTTTTGGAATCTTGTAACAGCTATATACAGGAGTCCTCGGTTGATTTATGAAACTACTTTTGGAAGAATTATTTTTGTATGGCTTGACTATATCACATTAATTCCATCTTAAGCCATCATTTCTATTTCCCATGAAGTATTTAAAACCATCATCCAAACACTCCATCCACATGCAGCTTCACATCTTCCCAATCTCTAGGTCTCGGATCCAGACAAGATCGCGCACGTGCACTCTTAATAGTAACATCCAGCGATGGGACATGCAATCTAATGTAGAGAGCTTAAGTAAATGTGACTACGACTATGTAGATTACAAAATACAGTACCTGCTGGCGGCTGAATAGGCGTGTGACAGGCTAATGATATGCTGGGCAAGGGAAACCATAGTTAGTGAACGGATTGCACAATACTCGGATGATGATTTCCAAAGCTGTAATGTCAACACCAATGTCTTAACATAAAGAGCCATGGAGGAGTGGTTGATTAGCTCAGATATAATTGTTAAACTACCTCAAGAGTTGCAGTAGCGTCAGGAAATGTCAGTGTCAAAGACCCTTTATCCCCTATTAGACCAGAAGCTATAAACAAATTTGATGGTCTCCTAAGCTTCATTTCAGTCACTAGCAGTTCATCAAGCTCATTATCCACATCCCACAAATGTAATATTGCCAAACTGAACTGAAGCAAACACTTCTCAAGGGAGCAGATCCACTCATGATATTGGGCAGCATCTCTTTTAGTCTCGTCAACATTGTTATCCTCAATTGTGTGTTGCTGACCGGGCATTCCCTTTCCAACCTCCTTTCTATGAATGCTCGGCTTAGTATCAATATCATGTGTGTGATTTTCAATCCTTACCACTTTTTCTTGCTTTTTATTAAGGTTACCACACTCATTTCTCAAAGGGTCAAGTCTCAGACAAAGAGACACGAGATCTGTAAGATCAAAAGATAGAGCACAAATTCCAGGAAATGGACAAAAGCTTTTAATTGGTTGGTATGTGCAATGGAAGGAAGAAAAAACAGACCCAGAAGCATTTCCACCATTTCCATATGCAGATGTAGACCTATAATTTGTTCCTGTACTGGCAGAAGATATTTTTGACGAAGAGGCCACCTTCCCCGAAGTTTGTGAATACTTTGCCTCATCAACAACAGGAAAAAGCATCAAGGAAGCAGACGTATTCCCATTAATCATACCAGTGGATGAAAGATTTTTATTGATGCATGCACAGAAATGTTCAAACATTGAATGAGCAGCAGCTCCGCGGAGGACCCTCTCACTGGCCCCAGTCTTCACATCCCAAATGTACAGAATATCAACTCGAGCAGATGCTCCTATCTGATTTGAACAGAGGCATGCTATATAGCCTCTTCTACTGTCCCACATAACTTTTGCGGGATAAAATGGGTGGCCAGGGAACATTCGTTCAACTCGCATAGTGTCCAGTGAAGCAAGGGCAACACATAAGTCTTCCCCGACAGAAAGAAAGCAATCATTCCAAGGATGGTCAGTTTGAGGTGGGGGGAGAATAATTTGGCGGACTGGAGCTACATGTTGGTGCATCACTATTAGGGGTTTGCCAGAATCAAGATCCCACATACGAACTGTGCAGTCCATGCTTCCTGACAACAAAATATAAGTGGAAGTCCCTTCAGAAGATTTTTTCAGACAATGTGCAGCCAGACATAGTACAGCCCCTCTATGACCAGTGAGACAATGTTCAGTTGTGTGTTCATTTTGATGGTGACTTAGGCTGTGAGAATTCAATTCTTCGAAAAACATGTCAAAACGCATTACTTTTATGTCACCATTATAGAAACCGTAAACAACAGCTAAGGGAACATAGTCATCCTCAGAAATAACCAGGGATGAAGATACTAACTCTCCTCTATCATAAGAACAATAACTCTTCAAAATTTTATGATCAGTGGTCTTTGTTTTTACTCGAACATCCTGCCTTACCCCCTCTGTTCCAGAGGAAGTAAGGCTTACGTCCCAGTCTTCAAAGTAGCTTCCTTTGCCAATCATGTCACACTCTTGAGGTGACAGCTTCACATAATTACCACACTGTTCAGGCAATGACCAAACCGTTATATGTGGCATCCAAAACAATGGTTCTTCCATATGAAAGCAAATTGATTCTACCCGGATAAGAAATTTGCCTAATTGAGCAAAGGATATAGATAACCTCACATCAGAAGAGCAAAAACTGGCACAGATGGTAGATATGGGTTCATACATGAAGACATTGCTTGAATACAATGCCCTGTATATAACTGCTGAACCTTTATTACTCCAAACAGCAAATAAACTAAATGATTTCTCATAATCAAGCCCTGTCTCAATTTGATCATCTCTAAGAACCATGCCCCCAATGATATAACTGCCTTCTACAGAAAGTGGACTATCTAAAAAAGAAATTTCCTCTATTTTACTGTCATCCTCTAATAACCGAAATATACAGCATGTTTTGAACAGAAAACCTAAGACCTGACCGAAATTTATGACAGACAACAGAAGGCCTCTCTCATTTGACCCATCTACCCGGTCTATATTCCCTACACTAGAGGGATTGCAAGGTGTTGCCGTCACATTTTCTGAGTTTGAACCACATTCTTTCAATATCGGTACACATTGTACTTTTCCAAAAGAGTCAACCATCATAACTGACTGCATAAATATATCTCTGATGGATGAAACTATATCCATAGACTTTAAAGGTCCAATGGATAAGAATCCATTGAAAACAGTTTGGAGAATGTTAAGAGTATATGAATCAACAATGATAATTGTGCATTTAGATGGTTTAACATGCAGCACTTCTGAATCTACCAAACCTTCAACTCCACCATCAAGTGACTGATGTTCAGGTACATAAACAGAATCAACAGAGAAACAGGAAATGCACACATATCTATGATTTTCGGGAAATGGACGGAGGAAGGATGGTGCTCCGGCCCATGCAGGCAATTTCCGTCTGCGTCTGCAGTGTCCACTGGCTCTACTCCATACGCACATCACACCATCAGTGCATGCACTTATTAGTGCACCATTGTTAGAATTTGATACCACACTATTATTGGGTTCAACTTGATCTACTCTACCATCCCCAGAAACTGATGTAGGACAACATATCCCTAAATCAACTATTGGAGCAGCGTGACCACACAGCATAGAAATAGGCTTTATTTCCTGATAATCAAAACGAACTCACCGCTTACAAGTTACAAAGTAACGGGTGCCATATTTAATTAAGATTAACAACAAGAATAATGAGAAAAATCTACCGGGCTGGAAGGTATTTCGATATTAGAAGAGACGATTTTACCTTAGCAGATCCGGTGGAAGAGTAGAGGCTCCACCAGATGATGGAGCCATCGGAGCCACCAGTGTAGAGCGTAGGAGGGTGATTCAGTACGGCTAAGGCGGTGACTTTGTGTGCCGGTGGTGAGCCTGACCATATACATGCAACGGATTTGCACTTCATCGACAGGTCCAGTCCGTTAGGAGAAAACCACACTCAGCTGATCGGTAGGGTGGCTCATTGATTCACCGGAGATCAGTTCTCGGGTCGGGAGGTCAGGTGATCAGGTCAACAACGGAAATCTCCGGTCCGTGATTAAAGCAGGGGAGTGGAGACGTTGGTCTAGTAGGTGGGACAATAAGATGATATTTGATGGTTTAGCCTAATATAATATAATATAATATAATATAATATAATATAATATAATATAATATAATATAATATAATATAATATAATATAATATAATATAATATAATATAATATAATATAATATAATATAATATAATATAATATAATATAATATAATATAATATAATATAATATAATATAATATAATATAATATAATACAGTACAATACAGTACAGTACAGTACAATACAATACAATACAATACAATACAATACAATACAATACAATACAATACAATACAATACAATACAATACAATACAATACAATACAATACAATATAATATAATATAATATAATACTCCATCTGTCCTGCTAAGAATGTCTCATTTTTCTTTTTTCAGGAAATCCCACTAAGACCGTCTCATACGAAATTTGGTAAAGCTTGTGTGTGTGACTCGGAATCATTTTTACTTTATTCTTACTATATAAATACAATATCAAACACATAAACTCACTTTTCTTAATAACCGTGTCGCATTTTCATGTCCCAATGTTAGTGGGACGGAGGTAGTATAATATAAAGTAGTACAACACAACACAAGATACACACACAAACACACCATAGTTCATTGAATTCTAAAAAAACATTTGTGCATACCATACAAAATAAAAAACCATAAAATTAACATTTAAGTTGGAAATAGTTGTAATAAATAAATATGTAAACATGAACGTCACCATAATTGACTAATAAGAGCGAAAATATTTAATTTCTGTTAGTCCATATCAAGGATGTTATATTGTTGCGAAGTTCCTTCATCTCAGTGCAGCTTTCTGTTTGTGAATTGATGACACTTGAAGTTGAGTTCTGAATGTCAACAAGATCATCACGTGGTATGAAATATGGATGACGCTCGAGAACCTCAAATATCATGTCATCACTAGAGAATTTGCGAATATAGTTGTGCAAAGCAAATGTTGCCATAATAATATCTATCTGCATTTTAACGCTAAACATAGGCAATCTTGATAAGATTTTCCACCTCTTTTTCAAAACCCCAAAAGAACGCTCTATGCAACTACGAAGAGATGAGTGTGAGCGATTGAAAGCTTCTTGAGCATTTGTTGGTGCTTCATTTTCAAATTGCTCCAAGTGGTATCGTAGCTTGGGATAAGGAACAAGATATCCTTTTCGATCCGGATAGCCTTTATCCACCAAGTAATATCTACCTACATAAATTTTAAAAATATGATTAAAATTATGACTATGAGTTTAATAAATTGACAATAAAACATACCTTCAGGTGGATGTGGAAAGTTCAATGACGGTGTCTCTATAGAATGAAGGAATACACGTGTATCATGATCTGATCCCTCCCGCCCTACTGATAGAAATGTAAAACACATGTTGAAATCACACACAACCATAACATTAAAGGTCGGGATACCTTTTCTTCCTCTATAACGCAGTTGTTCCTTTACTGGGATACATGCAGCTATGTGTGTTCCATCGATACACCCGATGCAATCCTTGAAATATGGCATATATCTTTTATCCTTAAAAATATGATAAGGGATATACGGGAAGGCCCGATCAATTGTTGCAATCATATCACGTGCAAGTCCCTTATATCCCTTACTCCTACCTGTGACGGATTCTAAGACATCATGAAATGCCCGACTTACAGTATCTCCAGATCTTTGGAACCTCTCAGTCACATCCCGATTTGAAAGGCCCAAAGCTAGAGTGTATATAAATATACCTACTTTTTCTTCAATTGTGATTTTGTCACTTGATGTGAAATCATATTTTGATTGCAAATCCTTACATAGGTGCGCGAATAAATCTGGTGACATCCTAAAGGCATTAACACAAAGAATAGGATGACCATTGAGCACCTCTTGCATCCAAGCCTCCCCACTTAAAGTTGATGTCATGCAAGGCTCCTTATACATATGTTTGTAATAATGGGACGCAATAATATCATTTCTATGATGAATAGTAAACCCAGCCATAATAAGAAGCATAAACTCATCATCTTCATCATGACTCATGATATGCCTATAAATAAACAAATGAATGAAAACAAATCACTCCAATATCAAGTCTCAACATATAAAAATTAAAATCACTTCAATCTCAAGTCTCAACATATAAAAATTAAAAACACTTCAATCTCAAGTCTCAACATATAAAAATTAGAATAAAATATCCAATCTAAAATATTAAATTTGTATCCTAAATGTATGACTTGGTATCAAAAACATTTCTTTTGCGTGCATAAACTTCAACCAGTTGAGCCTTTCATCGTCATCTTTAAAGTTTATGAAGAATTGTCTTCTAGTAGGATTCTCCAGAATACAAATGTTGTGGAACCATAAGTCACCACTCCTCACCAGCCCACCATTATCAGCCATTCTAGTCATAATTTCCATGACATCACCAACACTTGCACAATCATCAACAACATTCTCTTTTTTTGTCAAGAGACGCTCAATTGCTTGAAGACATGTATTCCCCCTCTCTAAATTTTCACTAAGTTTCACTGATCCCATACTCTGCCTTAGTTTGCGTTTCTTACTAGTGACACTGGTCTTTGCATCTTCACTAGTGGTAACTGTAGTAACAGAAGGAACATTTCCACTAGCCTCTTGCACAAAGTCTTGAAAAAAATGACCCAGATCTAGTTCGTCGTGGTAACTCTTATACACCTCATAAGGATCACGGTTATCCTCCAAGTTGACGGTGTCTTGATGATTTTCTTGATTGTTGATCTCCACAATTGTAGCAGTTGGAGCCACACATTCTACTCCAGTTGCTACGGAGTCCCCAAATATTTGATCTCGGCCCATTGCTCTTCAATGTCCCCTCCCATTCTTAAGAATGAATTGGATGCATATTTCATTAAAAATTGCAACAGTTTCATCTGACCACATAAAGTAACCCCCTTCATCTTTCTTAGATGACATCTGAAAGGCTCAACTGATAATATAGCAAATGAAAAAAAATAAATATTTTCATTACAACGGTGTGAATTCAAAGAACTTATAATACAACATATACAAGAATGGTGAAACCACATCTAATCAATATAAAATATTAAACTACACGTTCACATACTGAGCAAAAACAGTATTTACTTATAGGCCTTAGATTGCAAGATAAATTTGACAAAACTTTAGCAATGAGCAGTTCTTCAAAACAGTACTTACTTATAGGCCTCAGATTGCATGATAAATTTGACAAAAACTTTAGCAATGAGCATGGAGTAGTTCTCTAAAACAGAATCTACATTCTACCAATCTACTTTTATTCTCTTACTATTTTTCAGTCAATTTTGGTGGGGAAAATTGGCAAAGGAATCCATACTCTTGTATCAAACTTAAAGCCTCAAAACTGCCTTCTCAAGGAAAAAGCAGTAAAGAATAATGTTAAGGTCTAGAAAAATAAAAATGACTAACCATTAAAGAGAGGAGCAATAATCATGATTACCATATGCTGAAACAAATTCATGTAATATTGCAGAGATGCAGCAGCTCAGAGACTCCCAATATATCACAACACAATTTCACTAAGGATTTTAATCGAACACTTCTTAGGCGTATGATCTTGTATAGAAACACTCAAACAAAATTAACATTCTAAATTACTAATTTAGGCGTAAATCACAGTTCAGTGGTTCATCTCCATCAGTGAGATTGCAATTTGCGAAATTCCATAGTTTTAATATGTATAAAAAACAAATAAAACTCCATAGGTATTAAATTCCAGGGTTCCTATGGGCGTTTACCAGAATCAGAGTCGGAAAGTTTCTCTAACTTTATGGATTCAGAAGTTAAATTTATACAAACTGGTAACTCTAACCTGGAAGTTAATTGTCATGGAATACATACATAAGCTTTTAGAGAAGAAAATTTAGGAGAACCGAGCAGCCATAGACCATATTGTTGGAGTTCTATGTAGACTTTTTTCAAGGTGACGGGAGAAAAGAGGATGCCGTCTCTCTTTGTGTATGGCTCGCTATCAGTGTCTAATAGACCAAGCAATTGACACAAATAAACAGCAGAATGAAGGGCAAAGGTAAAAATAACATACCTTCACCGAAGCTGGAACTCTGCCTCGAACGATGAACTTGGGCTGCACGGCGATGGGGAAGGAATTGCGGAGAGATGAATATATGCCTACGGGTGACCCTCAGGGACATAAGGGGAATGTAAAGTCTGAAATCGGGAGACTGATATCAAACGTTAAGGAGGCAAACGTTGCAGCTCAGCCCATTTTTTTTCAACTCAAGCCCGCTTCAGCCTCGCAAACAAACGCGTCTAGTTTAATCCTAACCGACTGAATTTAAAAGATTTCAGCCTTTTTTAGCTTAATTGGTGTGCCGAACACAGCCTTAGTCTATATTTATTTTATAACTATCCAAGTTTGATATGATCTCATCCGTTTTGGGACTGAAAAAAATACAAGTAAAAACATCTTTAGTATTGATAATCAAATAAAGTCCAAAATAAAAGAACTCAAAATATGTGTCATTATAGGGAAGAAACATACATCAAAAATCATACATCAAAGAGGTGTTGACTTTTGGAAAATGTTATATCAAAAATTTAATGGTTTTGAACACAGCCAAATAATTAATGTTATTGTTGTGTAGAAATGACACTCCTAATCACACTCTTAGGAGTGTATTGTATATGGATTGTGTTGGACTTTTTTTAATTCATGGACTTTTAAAAAAGTCAATGGACTTTTAAATCCATAGACTTTTTTTATGAATGAATTCTATTGACTTTTAAACACATGCATAAGTTTATAGACTTTCAAAAAGTCCACAGACTTTTAAATCTGGACCGTCGTTGCTGGGTCGTCGGAATTTTCACCTAGATCGCAATAACAATCTGCCTATCCGCCTCCGTCACTGGAGTTCGTCGCCATCGTCATCGGACTGATCCGCCACTAATAAAATGACTTTGGTTATGCAAAGGAACTTGGGGCAATTAATTATACAAAGTATTAATTAATTAAATTAGGGGTAGAAATGTATATTTAGTCTTATTTAAGGAAAATCATACATATGATCATACTTTGAGAAAAATCTTACTCCGTATGTTTTAGTCCTACCGTAAGTAATTTCTTAATGTTTAACTGACAACGTACCAGAATTGCACCGATGTAGTACTATCGATTCTTATATCGGTTCTTCTAAAAACTTCTAGAATCGAATCGATATGGGAATAACGGTTTTTCAAATGGTTCCTAAATTTCTTTCAAGAACTGGACCTATTTCACCCCTATATTTTTTGCGTAAGACGACAAATAAAATATCATTTTTTAAGTTTATCTCGTGTATCAGTATTAATGTAGAATCTCTTTGTTCAACTTTAGAATCTCTCGTATAAAATTTAATGTTCAAATCTTGCATATTGAGACCATCCCGGTACCCGCCTCCCGACTCGTCCGGTACTAGTCTAGGACTCATTGACTGGTTTGTGATCCCGGGTAAATAAATATCCAAATCTGCAAAGTCCACGGAAAAGACCACGGAAATATTTGGTTAGGAGAAGAGACAATTGCAGTGAACTAAAGAACTAAAAACGAGTTAAAAGTCCATAAGAATTTGTGATTTTAGAAGTCAATAAGAGTGAACGGAAGTTTGAATATGCCTAGACTTTTATAGACTTTTAAAAATCTACATTGAATACACCTAGACTTTTGTGGACTTTTAAAAGGCCGCATTGAATACACCTAAACTTTTAAAATCCATGGAATCTTAAAATTTTGCTACTAATTCCTAATAGAATACACCACTCTTAATATATGTAGAAATGATATTTAAAAAGACACATAATTTGCATGGATGTTTTGATAAATTTTAAATGAGATTTAATATTTTAATGAAATTTTCATGGATGATATGCATTAGAAATGCTACTAATTCAATGACACAGACTTTAATATGTATTCCTTAAATGTGATTTGGTGGTTTATCTTTATATTTATGGTATGGATAATGTGTCCTTGTTGTAAAAATAAGGATTATTAAGAAGCAATGGTGCAAAGAATATTCACATATAAAATTTAAATGTGTATGAAGGGTCATATTTCTAAACATAAGGAAAGAAACTGACCTTTATATTGTACTTGTAAGTCTTCGTTGCAGGTACCTATTGAAGGTAAAAATGTTAAATTGTTTAGTTTCTTCATGTGTTGTAGTTGTTTATATGCTAAATTGATTGACCTTGATCGTGATGATGTGGGTCTTTTCTATAGATTAATATTACCTAATAAAAGTCAAACCGTGATATCAATCGAAGATCTTGAGGTCTATTTCTCGAGTACGTCTTCATTGTCGGCTCACTGTTAATTGTCATCTCACATTGAATGCATCATGTTCATTCAATACCTTAGGTGAAACTGTGTGAATTGTTTGGCACTCAAAGAAGGGAGTAAACATTGAGGATATAGGTGGCACATTATTTTTATTCATTTTCATCACAAAAAGTGATATCAACTAAGTGCTTCAAGAATCAAGACGATACGTTATCCTTCTAACAGAATTTAGTAGAAATAAGTCAACTTGGAGCAACTGATAGCCTTTAAAGGTGAATATGGATTATGCTGAATCTGGAGTTCATGTTCATAACTTATCTTTGAGACTCCTAACGGAGAAAAATGTGATAGGTATTGGAAATTTTATAGGGACTCTTATTATGATTGACAAATGAAACCGCAAACTTGAGGGAGCATGGAGATCTTATGTTTCCATTAGAGTATCAATTCATATCAAGAGTGCAATGAAGAGAAGGATGAAGATTACAAGAAGACGAGAATTGATTTTGGCGGATTTCATGTATGAGAAACATCCAAACATATACTTTTTTGTGGAGGTTAGAATATGTTGATCTTTTCAGCCCCCCAATTACTTACTTAGGCTCATGTGTTGGAGAGAAGCCTTTTTGGTTCCTCAATGTGCATGGATGTGAGAAAAGGAGGTACACATAGCCACACAGGAAATAAATGCATGTGCGGCAAAAGAGGCTTTAGGGATTCAAATGAGA